GCACTCTACAAGAAAAATATAAGTTGATTTCGCATCAGTAGAAATCGCAGACAGACAATAAATGTATGTATGCTTGGCGACATTTATAATTTTTAGAAACCAGACAATAAGTTGATCAGTTAGCTTACTGAACAACTTCAGTTTATTAATTGTTCAGCACTATATGTATGTACAAACAAAAACATCAGCCATGCATGGAGACAAAATTAGCTAATCGAAACCGCCTGCGGCAAATTTCTTTCAGCACATAGTATGTTCCTCTGTGATCTACAAGTTGCTCTTGTCACTTGTCAGTCACAGCAAAATTCTTTTTTTTTGTTGTAAACACACTGTTGTGGTTACACCAGCACCAGCACGCAACACAGGGACCCGAAACAAATCGGAACCAATCAGCCCCACAAAAAGTTGGATAAACTGGAGTGCCAATCCCACAAAAGAATGGATAGACTGCTTGGTTAAAGAAAAATAAATGTGCTGTAACCAAACTCAGAGAACGATCCATACAAAATAGTATCAGGGCGGATCTCCACTCCACCAAGTCCAGTAAGCGACTAAGCAGAGGACAAGGGTTTCCTCCATGTGGAGTGAGACAGGAGAGTGGCTTTAGGTGGGGAGGATGCAATGTTATTGGGTAGTGAGGTGGTACAGAAGAATATGACCGTCCACAATCAAGCTAAGCACCCTCCTTCACTGGAAAAATGAACCTCTCAATATCTTGTTCGTTGACAAGATTTCACCAATCACATGAGCAGCCTATGGGTGCATTCACGCTATCGATTCATCTAAACACAGGGTCAATCATGCTATGCTGCCTACGTTTGTCACACTGGAATAGGTGCATTCACGCGTATCCACATCAAGAATGAAAATCCCATCTATTTCAATCAAACAACATATCTGAAAGAGGAATTCGAGATTATCTCTTGCGGTTTGTTAGCAAGGTGTAGAAAAGACTCGATAAAGTACCTGTTTTAGATTGTTCAGTGCACCGCACACTTTACTGGGAAGGGCTTCACTTTGTATATCCTGTATGCATACATGCAGAGAAACAAGGTTAGCTCACTCACTCATAGGCAAACTTAATATGCTCTGGCCAAGATTACACATGCATACATCTCACCTTTAGGCTTGCAAAGGCTCTGCACACATGAGCCAGTGAACCCACAGCCCTTGATAGGTTTGCTTCCACCTACAAAGAGCGCGCTTATTTTGTTGGTAAATACTGTTGGACTAGCAACTAGAGGAGGAGCAGAACAGGGGAGGCAGAGGAAAAAGCTAGTATCACAGGTATGATTTTTGAATGTCAAAGTTCACTTCATTTACATTGCTAGCGTATGGTCAGTCGGCAGCTAAACCAACCATACAGATACAGCTCTAGCAGCTGTCAGTACATGGAAACATCAAACTGACTACTTGCTGACAGACTGCATATTCTGTCCTGTTGAGTAGGTACCAGACCTATATAGATATGACATCGACTACTACTTAGCTAATTAGGCAAAAAGGACACAAGAATTAAAACTAACAAGTACACCATGCTATGGAATTTACCATTTCGCACAGACCAGAAAAACCGTCTTCTTTTTCTAAATCACCTCTTGCCCTGCA